GGCTTTTTTCCTTCAAATTCAGTATCAGATTTTGCAGAGCTACAAGCGCAGTAGAGTGGTGGGAAGGGAAGGAGCCCAAAGGTAAAAAGAAAGAAACCAGTATCACTGTCTTCCTTCTGTATCTTTTTGGGGAATAAAAAGTCTGTTGGATTGTTCTATTAATCAGCTATGAGGTTACGGAAGAATCAAACTGAAATTGGCTTTTGTCCTGTTTTACATTATTGTCCCACTCCTTTTAGTGGATGTAAATTTAGCACTTTCTCTGTTATTTGTTGACTTAGTGACTGCAAGAATAGGCTCAAACACAGCAACCATTGTGAGACTGGCACAGAAATGGGTAGTGTCTCGTTTCGTTGTACATATGGTTATCAGAACTGACTACAGCACCTAACAACAGCAAAAAGTTATTGGTGCTAATCCGAAATTATGAAAACATGGGTAATTTAACTTTATATCAAATACTTAGTTTGTGCTAGTCTCTAAACGAGGTTGTAGAAATATAAAATTGAATAAGAGACCTAATAGCAAACAAACTCAATTTGGTGACAGAAACATGTCGCAGGTATTGTGGGAGAATAAAAGGAGTGGTTACTTACACTAAGCACCAATAATCAAGAGCTCCTTTGGGAAGATATAAGGCAAGTGAAACATCGAAAGAAGTAAGAGGTATAGATTTCCTTTGCATAATGTAGAATGTTACAGTCACTTATGAAGCCAAAAGAAAGAAATATTTAGTAAGAGAAGGATAATTTAGGTTATTTTAGATGCATTTTGTACCTCCTTTATATTTTAAGCTGAATTACTCAATGCTTTCTGAGACACCGTGTCATTGATCCTCTTTAAGAGTGTTGGGTGGCTAGTATCTGTTTTATGGATGATCCATTAGAGTAGCGGTTCTCAACAGTAGCGATTCATAACAGTAGCAAAATTACAGTTATGAAGTAGCAATGAAAATAATTTTATGGTTGGGGGGTCACCACAACCTGAGGTTACATTATATAAATGTAAATTTCCAGTTCCTTGTCCATATTAGTTTCTATCTATATTTTTATTTAAAAAATAATTTTAATCACATGCGTGTATGGATTAAGTGTTATGCTTTTTTCACTGTTGTCATGTTGGTTCCAACTCATAGCAATACTATGTACAACAGAATGAAACACTGCCTGGTCCTGCACCATCCTCACAATTGTTATTGTGTTTCAACCTATTGCAACCTCTGTGTCAATCCATCTCCTTGAGGGTCTTCCTCTTGTTTATGGACCCTCTACTTTACCAAGCATGATGGATGTTCTTTTCGGGACCAACCTTTCCTGATAGCATGTCCAGAGTACACGAGACAAAGTCTTATCATCTTTGCTTCTAAGGAACATTCTGATTATACTTTCTTTAAACAGATTTATATACTATTGTGGCAGTCCATGGTATTGTCAGTATTCTTCACCAACACCACAGTTCAAATCTAGTAGTTCTTCTCTAGTCTTCCTTATTCATTTCCCAGCTTTCATGTGCAGATGAGACGATTGGAAACGCCATGGCTTAGTTCACTGCACTTTAGTCCTCGGTGTTTACATCTTTGCTCTTTAACACTTTAAGTAGATATTGTGCTGCAGATTTCTCCAGTATAGTAAGTACATCATTTGAATCCTTAACTGCTTCTTCCATGATCATTGATTGTGGAGCCAAGTAAAACAACATTTTTGATGTCAGTCTTTTTCCTCTTTATCATAATGTTACCTATTAGTTGAGTTGTGAGCATTTTTGTGTTCTTTGTATTGGGTTGTAATCTATACTGCAGCTGTTATCTTTGATGATCAGTAAGTGCTTCAAGTCTCTTGCCTTTTAGCAAGATGGGTTGTGTCATCTGCATATTGAAGGTTTTTTTCACTACAACTCATTTTTTTAAGTTACCGTACACAATACCTTATCTAGATAGTCCTCTAGAAGTATTTTGAGTTTTCTAAATTTTTGTTAGTACCTGAGGCTTTCTGCTTCTGTAAAGATTTACATTCATGGAAACCCCATATAGAGTTGGATTAGAATCAACTTGATGGCTGTGGGTTTTTTTTAAGCCTATATAATACTAGAGTGAACTTGTATGTATATAATTTTTTTTCTTTTTATGCCCTTTTACTCTATTTCTCAGGACTAAGATTAAGGTGAAATGATATTGATATTTTCAGATAGATTTTTGTGATTCCTAAGAAGATCATAGTATGTTACCAGTTTGAGCACACCAACATTGGAGATTGTTATTTATAAGTCTTTGATTTAATTTTTTTAAGTTATAGATTTGAACTTTTAAAGTTCCTTTGATTACTAATGA